CAGGGGGGCTGTGTCCGTGGTGGTTAGCCTGTGGGTGGGGTGCCTCAGCGCCCCCCCTGACACTGGCCTCTGCCCTCTCCACAGACCTCACGTGGTGGGCAGTGGAGGCAATGACAAAGAGAAGGAAGAGTTCCGGGAGGCCAAGCCACGCTCGCTACGCTTCACGTGGAGCATGAAGACCACGAGCTCCATGGAGCCCAACGAGATGATGCGGGAAATCCGCAAGGTGCTGGACGCAAACAGCTGCCAGAGCGAGCTGCACGAGAAGTACATGCTGCTGTGCATGCACGGCACGCCAGGCCACGAGAACTTTGTGCAGTGGGAGGTGGAGGTGTTGGGCCCAGCCGCTGCCCCCCCCAGGCCAGACTGCAGCAACGGATTGGTGTCTCCCTGCTGGCACTTCTCCCTCCCTGGCCCTTCTTGGTCTTTTCTTCCAAGTTTGTGGGGGATGGGAGATGGCTCTTCCCCTACCATCACCACATTCACCCCTGCCCAGAAATTCCCCCTTCCCCTCTCTCCCCCATAGGAGGCGAAGGAAGGGGAGGGCGGGGTAGGGGCAGGGCTCCCCCTCGGTACTGCGGTTGCACAGAGTATTTCGCCTAAACCAAGAAATTTTTTATTACCAAAAAGAAAAAAGAAAAAAAAAATAATCCCAGCTGCCACCTGTCCTCCCTGCCCCATTGGGACAGTCGAGACTGGATCTGTGGGGTTTCCCAGGAGGGTGGCTCAGGGCTGGAACACTCTCAGGCAAGAGTGGTGGAGTTCCCTGTCAGGCCCTCTGCCAGGCCCGCTTGGGGCTTCTCCCCTCTCCTCCCCTCCCCCCTCTAAGTGAACCACCAGAGGTGGCCTTCCTCTGCCCTAGGCCCCTGGGCTGGCAGCCTGGGGGGCTGGGGGCAGCGGGCTGGGTGCTGCGCAGCCCTGAAATGGGTGGGCTGGCGGCTGAGGGCAGGCGGGCTGGCTAGGGGCTCCGTCCTCCCTCTACACTGTATCCTCTGTCTCCCCCCAGCTGGGCATTTCCTTCCATAAGCTGCTGTGGGGACATTTGTTCCCCTCCTCAAAGGTCTGTGCCATCTTCTCCCACCCCTTCCGGGTAGGAGGGGCAACCCCAGGGCTGGGAGAGGGGAGGGGACTGCAGGGCAGATTGGCTCCTCAGCCCCCAGGGGGCCACTTGGGCTGCTAGTTTCCAGAACAGGGACGCTGGGCTTTCTCTGAAAGCACAGTCCCCCTCGCCGCTCCCGTCCCCACTGCTTCCCCTTCATTGGCATTAATCTGGGCACCAGCTAGTTTCAGAGCAGTGACTTCCTTCATCACTCATCTCTTGGCCTCACCTTTTCTTCTCAACACTGTCATCCCTCTCAGGAGGCACTGCCCAGGGCCCCGTGGGCTGCCTGGTGAGAGCTGGACAGGACAGGGCAGCGCAGCAGGGCCGGTGCATCTGCCCTCCACGGGGTGGGGGGACAGACAGGTGGAGTGACTTCCTGCTTCTAACCCCGTGGCCAGTGTGGGAGTGGGTAGTTGCGGGCGCTTGGCTGGTGGCGGCCACTGCATCCCTTAATTTATTTCTCTGCTGTTTCTGTTCTTGAGAAATTGGGGGTGGGCGTCCTGCAGAGGCAGCCCCTACCCTCACCTGAGTTGTACATTTTTATGTGATGGGTTTTATTTTTTATTTTATTATTATTATTTTCTTTTTTGATTTATGATGACTCTACCTGTTCATCACCCCTACTCCAAGGCCAGGCTCAGTGACAGTTGAGCCCTTGGGTCCCAGGAAGGGGCCTCGCCAACCTCAGCCCTCCTGCCCCAAGCTCCCACTGGTGGCTCCGGCTCAGACCAAGGGCTTCCCCCCACCCCTCCCTCTCCTGCCCTGTGGAACAGCCCGGGTGCTCCAAGGGGGCTGGGAGGGCATGGC